CCACATATCAAATCTCAAAGTCTTCATTCAGAATATGGAGGGTCTATTGTGACTAAATTTCTAAAATTAGACAATTTACAGTTATGAATTAAATATTTATCTGTCTAATCTATCTGAATATTTGAATATATTTGTGTAGGTTGGTTGATAGGCAGAATGATAGGTTATGTATAGTACATATAGACATAGACAGTTAAGGGTAGATGGATGGCTCACAGAAAACTGCATAACTGTGTCCCTTTGAAAAGCCAATGCCCAGAAAATGGAAATCACATGAGTACTCAGATTTAAGTTATTCCTGCAAGTCAGAAAAACATTTTAGAAATCTAATTTTCTAGACATCCATTAGAAACAGTCAGAACCATCGGATTTTCAATTTTTAAATCTTAGAGTACCTCATAAAAAAGATATTTTTTTCTGACTATACCCTATTTCCTCACAAAGGACGGGTATAGAAATGAATACTTTGCATTGGTATGGATATCAGTTTATTGACAAAAATTTAAGGTCAATTTTGATATGTATATTTCTTCTTTTGTTCAAGTATTGTGTTTATACAGATCTTTTAAGCATGTAATGTATAATTAAGTATAGATTATAGAGAGTTACCTATGATAGTCAAAACTTTTCATCATGTTAGATTTTCTAGATATATAGAGATATATTTCAAATGAATAGATATTCTAAAAAACCTTTCAAAGACCTACAGAATATGGCATTTAAAATGGTTTAGGGTTTTTCATGACAGTGAGACACAACTGCTCCTGGCAATGCCAATTACATCAGAAGATGGGAATTGAAGAAACTCCAGAACAAAGGACTTACATTTCCTGACAATTCTGTTACTGATTTATTTCCAATATGTGTTTTTCATCTTTTCTTTTCTCTTTCTCTTTCATTCGCTCCACCCTTTCCTATCCAGTATACAGTGTGGAGTGCCCTCTGGGTCACCTGGAATGTGTTCATCATCTGCTTTTATTTGGAAGTAGGTGGCCTCTCAAAGGTAAGTTTATCATGCCTTTAAAATACACTTTGAAAGGAGACAGTTATAAATTAATTACAATGATATACATTTATATTATTATAGTCAATTGGAGAAATATACAACAATTAGCCATAGGACTAATCAAAAATAGTCCAAGATGGCATGTGTCACATATCTGTAATCTCAACACTTGGTATGTTGAGATAGGATCATTTCAAGGTCATACTTTGCTGCATAGTGAATTCAAAGTCAGCATGTGTTATATGAGACCTTACTTTATTTTTAAATGTCTGTATTCTATGAGAAAATAAACTCAGAGAAATGCATGCTAGTATAAAGGAATTTCAATATGATTTTTGTTTGTTATACTGAAGTTGATACTCATCTCCTAGTGAATTTTCATGTTCATTTGGTAAATCCATAGTTGTCCTGGTGACATCAGCCATATATTTTAAAGTAAAGGGGGCTTGGACATTCACGCTTAAAAAAGAAAAAAGGTTGTGAAGATTACAAACTATAGATTTCAGTGGAGCCACATTTACCAACATATGAACACATGGGTGTGGTGATTTCTGTTCTGATGTTCTCATCATACAGAAGACTTTGCTCTTAACAAAACATTGTACAGACATTATTTCTACCAGTTTACAACTGTTATTTTCATCTGGATTCCTGAAAACATGTGTTTTGTTTATTACTAAGACATAAAAATAGTGTGTTAAATTTCTAATTGTCAATCCTAATGATATTGTTACCTCACATAGTTTTCACTGTAAAGAAGCAGTGCAATGGTATAACTCCAAAAGTTGTATAAGGAAGTTTATTATTTTTAGATATTTTATTATGAAATAAATCTGAGCTAATCTTTCTGTTGTTCTGTGACAATATGAAGTCATGCACCACATATGGTCCTCTACTGGCATTTAGGGTCCTGATCTTAAAACTCTACTTTGATGGCCACAGATGCTTTTAGAATTCCTGGAGTCTACTGAAGTACACATTGAAGAAAACATGTGTGATTCACCCAAAGGGAGAAAATTATTGAGAGATTTGATTTAGAGCCCTTAGAAATGGTTTGTTTCTTTTTCCTATACTATAATGACTTTAAAATTGAATTTTGTTCTTATTTGTGCCATGGGTGAGCTCAGAGGCCACAAATGTCATTTGCACTACTGAGATCCACACATAAGCTCTAGCATAGTGGTTCTCGACCTGTGGGTTGTGACCCCCTGGGATCACATAAATAATATCCTGCATATCAGTTATATAGATTACGATTTGTAACAGTAGCAAAATTACAGGTATGAAGTAGAAATGAAACAATTTTATCCTTGGGGTGACAACAACATGAGGAACTGTGTTAAATAAAGTGTTGCAGCATAAGGAGGGTTGAGATCCACCATTCTAGCTGTTTTCTTGGCTATTTACATTGTTGATTATTCATCATCACTAATTTATTGGACATAAAGTTTGTCTGAACTGTACATCCAGGTGTTGTGGCCTGTAAATGTAGATTATAGATCATTTTAAAATGCAAGTCTGATAAATAAAACCATCTAGAATGCAGTCTGTGATTGAACTCGGGCGAGTGATACGAGACCAGAAAACTGTCCCAATAAAGGTTTGAAGTTTTATTTAGATCCCAGATTGACACAGAGCTGTATCTTAGGAGACTGTAGTGTAGCCCTTCCAGCAGTGGCGTAGTGAGTTACATGTTAAACACAGTATTCAGCCCCTAATTTTCTATCTTGTGGCTTGAATGATCACTTTAATTCATAGGTTTTATTCATTTCACTGGGTGGAAATTGTCTTTTATTGTCTTAATTATGAACTGTATCAACTGATTTGGAATAAGTTAGAATACAGGAAGTTTGCCCTGAGGAATTGGCATAATAGTGTGTTGAAAGAAAACTAAGTTCAAATAAATAAGCATTTGGTTCAAGTTTCAACTTTAGCACTTAGTGTAGGCTGTGAAATAATCACACCCCACTTCATGAGCCTGTGAAAATATCATGAGCCAGTTTTGCAAAGTAATTTTTATAGTAAATGTTGATTTACTGCATGGTACTGTTTATGCTTATCATAGATGTTAACTATGTAAGCATCAAAACAACCCTGTGGAATAATAAGGATAAATAACAGCGGTCATTATCTATGCCCAAGTTTAATTACCTATTGTTTCTCAAGATTGTTTTTGTGAACTGCCTTTGTAACTTCTTTTCCAGCCTTGTTGTGAATGCCAAAGGATTTTTTTGTTGTTGTTTTGCTTCCCTTTTATTGGACATTAGTTGTTGGAGTATGAAGCAAGTTTGACCAGGATGATGATCCAAGTTCTGTTCTCCCTCCCTTACTCCTCTACCACCCCTCAACTAAATCTTACCTGTAATATGTCCTTTCTTCTAATCTACACCCGACTCAAAATTTCTGCTTCCTCCTGACCTCTGCATACTTCCTTTTCTTCCCTTCTCACTCTCGTAGCTTCCTTCCCCCTCTTCTCATGTTCTCAATTTGCTTAGGCACACCACATATTTCATACTTGTATGTTACCTTTAAAAGTTTGTGTCTTCAAAAATAGACAGGTAGACCAATGGAATAGAGTTGAAAACCCTGATATTAACCCACACACCTACAAACACCTGATTTTGACAAA